AAATTGTCATGTTGATCAGTGCTGCTGTTTATGGGCTACAGTTGACCAAAAATCACTGATAAAAAATAAATAAACAGTACAAAAACAATAAGACCCCCGATTTGCATGCGGGGGATATAATAATATAACACAAACCTAGTTTGGTTACTTGGTTTCAGGACTTGTGACATGAGCATACAACTTGTAAAGTTTTTGTTGTTGTTTGGAAATGTGCAAGCGTTTGGTGACTCGTGATAAGGGATGGCGTGATTTATGATTCAATCGTCTAACGGCGACTGAAGGGTTGGAATGTGATTTTTTTAGGGGGATATTTATTAATTAATTAAGTACAGTGCCAGGTATGTAAAGTAAATTTTAAATGCGCCCTTCTCTGTAAATTAAAATGTTTTAATCATCGTCATTGTGATCTGTGCAAACGARGGAATAAAATAACAGKGCTGCATCTCTTTTTTTTTTTCTCGGAGTCGGAGCCTACAYGYRCAGCTCCTCTTCACGTCTCTCCTCGTCATCTTCTTGCTTTGTTGCGCCACAAATGACCCAAATAATGTTATATTAAAACGTTTAGTTACAAAACGAATAATCCACGACAATCATACATTTGAACAAATAACTTTAACCTGTTCTGAACCGGACYGGAGCGCACTCCCTCACCCCTGCTCATCCCCGTCACTCTGGGCTGTGTGTGTGGGTTGAACTTTTCACCCCCTCCACATAAGAACACATGCGAACTGTATGGTGTGATTGGTCTGAAGTTTGTGGGAGTGTTTGTTTGTGCTAAAAGCGCTCAGACGCTGCGTTTGCTTCAACCACTCGCTTAAAAAAAGAGAGAAGAAAAGTGACTCGTTCGAATGCCGACTACCAGGAAGCAGCGATTTATAAAGATATTCAAACAGCCAAAACTTTATAAAGGGGATAAAACAGACAATTTTCATGGTTAAATCTGACTGATAAAAACTTTTGAGCTTAATCCTGGACCAGTTTGTGGATAAACAACGTCAAGTGACGAGTGTTGGACTTTTTTTTTTCCGCATTGGACTCCCTCCGGGTAGAAATCCCCTGTAGTGACGTATGCAGCAGCGGGTAGGGGGGGTTCCCAGGAGCTTGGCGCGGGGGTCTCAGGAATTATGAAAGGTATGTGCGAACACACGCTGAATAACCACGGAATTTACAAGCAACTTTAGAAAATAAGAAGCCATTGCTTATAATTAGCGGACTTGCTTGCCCCTTTTTTAACAACATAACTGCGCATGTCTTATCAGCCGATTGGATCGTTTACYGGCGATAGTCAGTGACCAWGATTTATGATCTGAAAATAGGGACGATTTCCCATCCCTGCTCGTGATAAACATATTCAGCTTAAGTGGGGCTTAATGCCAATTTGCTGCCTGAACAGACTCAAAAAGTTCATTCGTCCAAAAGAAAAATGTCTTTCAGCCACAGGASAGCGTTATGAATAATGAAAAGATAATTAAATAAATAAAAGATAAATAAAAGAAACAGGACAAAATCTGATTAAATGTTCATAGGTATATACAAAGAAGCAACAGATGCTGCAGAAACACTGTTATCTGCTGGAATTTCCATCATTTTGCTCCTTTTTTTTCTTTCAGAAATGCTTGTTTTTATGATTTTCAGAAGCTCCTTTAAAAAAAACTGCCTTGATAGATTTTACCTTGTACTTAATTCAGCTGCTTAGTCAAAGGGATTATTGTGATTTAGCCTTCTTCAACAGATGAGGTATAAAGCTGAGTACAAATCACAGGAGGCAGAAATGTATGAAGCAGAGGTATTTCTTGTAAAGACAAAGTGCTTTTATTATCATTCAGAGTACTTGTTTTAAAAAAAGAGCTTTTGTTTGTTTAAATAGTCAGGTCGATCAACTTAACCGTCTTCCCTATGTGCACTTTTTATTTTAAATACTGCATTATATTAAAACAAAACCTGAAAAAAGACAAATGCACAAACCAGTAACAGGCTTTTTTCCCATCTCCACTCCTACATGTTTGAACCTTCTCTGAGTCAATTAACCTGACTTGGAACAGGTGTGTAAAACTAAACGGCCTCTCCACCTCCAGCTGCTGCTTCCAACACTCCTACTCACAAAAGAACATGCTTGGTTTCTGTGATTTTTGTCATTCAGCGATGTCAGTTTATCCCAAAACAAGTTCTTAAATAAAACGAAAACTCATTTCTGATTTAACAAGTATTTATTTGAGTAGTTGTCACTATAATATAATATTATACATAGAAAAAGCTAAATATTTGAACATATCACTCAGTTTCTGTCAGCCTGTTTGGCACCTTTTTTACATATTTTCTTTAAAAAAATCATTTGTTTTGAACGAGTGAAAGCTTTGCTAACTAAAATGTGTTTAATCCTCCTGAAGCTTCATATTAAACCATCAATATCATAAAGAGCATTTTATTCTCTCAATAGAAACAGTACACCTCCCACTCAGTTGTCACTTTTCTCTGAAAAAAAAAGKTTTTTTTTTCTAGTAAAGCCCACATCATTTCCCTCTTTCTACTCTCTCCTTCAATTTATCACAAGTAATTTTTATTTTTATTCTGTTCACAAGTCCTCCACACAATGGCACGAGAAGTTGCTCAAATTCAGCGTTTGTTGCGTCACGTTAGCTGATTTGTTACACTATTTTTAGGGTCTTTCTTACAATAAAAGTACTTAAATAAGCATCACAAATAACAGGGTTCCCACAGGTCCTTGAAAGTTTGTGAGTTTGAAAAAAATGATTTCAAGGCCCTGGAAAGTTTGTGAAAACAGCCAAAAGTTACATTTGTCCTTGAAAGTCCTTGAATGTTTTTTTGGGGGGATTGAAATTCTCTATTCACACGACTGATTTTCATCATCTTTTAAAAAAAAATATAAAATTAAATTAAAAAACATTTGTTGCGGTGGGTAACTCAGGATTCCGGTTAACTGACGTCATTGTTTCTGACTCAACAACTTCTATGCTGTTCAGTTTTTCATTGAGTTTACATGATATTAAAAACCTGTTTCTTGGTAACATTCTGCGGTAGCAGTAAGTAATTGCCGTCGCGCGTGGTTCTTTAATTTGAGGAAATCGGTACTGRAAAGCCCTTGAAAGGTCCTTGAATTTGATGTTGACCTGTTMATTTAGGAGATTGCTCCTCCTCTACAGCTCATCTGACTTGTGGGGTCCCGCAAGGCTCTATTCTAGGTCCATTGCTTTTTAATCTTTATATGTTGCCTCTGGGGTCCATTTTCCTTTCCAATGTTTTGCTGAYGACATTCTGGTCTACCTGCCTGTCAAGCCAGGTTTGATTAATTCATTCAGATCTCTCCTGAGCTGTCTGAATGACATAAAAATCTGTCTGAAATTAAATTTTCTGAATCTAAATGAAAGTAAGACAGAAGTCATCAGCTTTAGTAAAGACAATCTTGGTCCTTTGGCTTCATACAGCTGCTCTGCTGTCAGAAAATTGGGTTTTATTTTTGATAATATGTTCAAATTGGACAGGCAGACAACTACTCAGTGGTAAAATCCAGTTTTTTTCCAACTAAGACTTATTGCTAATGAGAAGCCATACCTCCCAAACAAAGACCTTGAGAAAGTGATTCGTGCTCTCATTACATCTCATTTGGATTATTGTAATTATTTTTATGTTGGTTTAGATCAATCTTCTCTGCATCGATTACAAGTTGTCCAGAACGCAGCAGCTCGTCTTTTAACAGGAACTAAAAAATACGAACACATATCCCCGGTTCTGGCTTCTCTCCTTTGGCTTCCTGGTCATTTTAGGATCAATTTTAAGATTTTATTGCTGAATATTAAAGCTTTAAAAGGTCTGGCCCCATCCTACCTGTGTGATCTCATTAACATCCACACTTCAGTTAGAGCACTTCGGTCATCCAACCAGTTCCTCTTAGATGTTCCTGGATCCAGACAAGTTTAGAGGTGATCGGGCCTTTGCAGTTTCTGCCCCAAAACTCTGGACTGATTTACCTCTTAGCATTCAGACTGCTGAGACTGTTGAATCTCTACTTATTACTCACTTTCACTCCCTGGCCTTTCATTCTGGTAGAGTTTGAGATTCTTTTAATGATAATGTTTTTAATGTTTTTATGTATTGTGAATTGATTTTATTGTCTACATTTATGTCTTGCTCAATTGTTTTATTCATTTGGCTTAACTGTGAAGCACTTTGGCCAAGTTCTGTTGTTTTTATGTGCTATATAAATAAACTGACATTGACATTGACCAAGGTGTGGGTACCCTGTAACAAGGCATCCTGTGGAAAATCTTGTACTTTGTACATTTTCCCTTGAACATACAGCCATCCTAACGTTCGTTTAATTAATCCCAAAATACATAAATAAAATAACGACTTAAAATGAGGCTACTTCTCAGAGGAACATGATTAAAGTGTGAATTTGTTGAACCGCAGTAACAAACGGGTTCACAGGTTACTGTAATTAGTGTGCTGCCAGTCCTCTCATCAAATTTCCGTCGGTGYAGTCCTGTAACAATATTGCATATCTCCCACAAAAGTCTGCGCCAAGCAATTACCTGAATCCCCAGGTGCGTATGTAACCGAAGAGGACATGCTTACTCTGGCATACAATGGATGTGAGCAGGTTAGGAGAGTCKGTGGACACTGTGATGAAAGAACACATTTTTTGAGATCAATTTGACAGACGACACCGTGGCTTACTCATTATGCTCRTACACCTGGGATCCTTGTTTCAACTCACTTTCCAGCTTACTGACTCAGGAAGTCATTATCCTAAACATGGCTTTTCCTGGAGCAGAGGTTGAAACGGTGCGCAACATATTTTCTTTCTCCAAAGGAGGAACAGTAACAGTAAAGGCTATTAATTTGATTCTGTGTGACATTTATTTATATTTTCTGGATTTTGTATTTTTTTTCCTCTTTCTTGCTCTGTTTTCTTTTTCTAWGTAATGCTATTAATGAGTCGTCTCTTAATGTGGATTCTTGCTCTGCTTCCTTCTGTTTAGGTGACCGAAACAAGGACGGGCCCTCTTGGATGCAGTAACTATGACAACCTCGACTCTGTCAGCTCTGTTTTGGTTCAGAGCCCCGAAAACAAGATTCATTTGCAAGGTTGGCCATCCATAATTGAACTCCCCCAATTTCTGATGGAATTGTCACAGTGCCTGTTCTCCGGCAAGCTTATAACTACAGCGTGAGAGTGTCRGAACAAATTTAGCTTCAATCACTCTTTCTTTTTCYTTTTTTCCCCCCRCTTTTTTTTCCAATGCATGCTTGCAGAGTTCTGAAGTGAATCCTAGTGATGATTCAGAGCAAAAGTAGCAGAACTGTGGAGTAAAAATAAAACTTTGAGTGAATCTTTGCATGATGCATGTGTGGCAAAAAAAAAAGACTACCTGGTTCAAGTAATTTGAGTTACAAACTGTTCATAACCGTCTGCCTTGTGTGCACTCTCTGCTGTTCAGTTTCTTAGTCATTCAGTCCTGCCTTTGTCCTGTTTGTGTGTCTGCCTCAGGCCTGCAGGCCATCCTGCCAGAGTWTCTGAGGGCCAGGTTCGTGCAGGCCGCTCTCAGCTACATTGGATGTAATGAGGAGGGTCAGTTTGTGTGCCGGGACAATGACTGCTGGTGCCAGTGTGYTGCTGAGTCCCCACAGTGTAACTGTCCGAAGCTGGATCTGAGCGCCATGGAGGCTAGTTTACTGCAAATCAAAGATTCCTGGAACACGGCCAACCAGGACTTTGAGGGCTCAGGTCAGTGCTCTGCTTCTTTCATCGCTAATTATGACCCCCGAACGTGAAGCGGGGGTCAAATTGTTTCCTTACTGTTTTTTTATTTTAATTTTTTTTCAAGATTATTGGTAGCACAGAAACAGCTGCACCGATCAATGTGAAATTTAGTAAGAATGTAGATGAGTCCGACCTACACTGCACCAGCCAATGGTTTTACAATAGACCCCATATTTGAGGAGGGGGCTCCATCTGAAAAGTGGGTATCTGGACATACAAAAATGCTTATAACTCAAAAATTATAAAACATAGGAGCTTCAGATTTTTTGGTTGTTTAGCTCTGAAGGGCTAGCCACCTGGCCCACCAATGAGC